CTACTTAGTGATTCAGAAATGAATGCTTGGTTTAAATATATTCAAAAATTAATTCAGAAAATTGTGATGAATATTAACTCGTTAGAAGTTTTTTAAGTTTGATTTTTATTAAAATTGCAACGTTTCATCTAGTAAAAGTACTTGAAAATATAGTGGTCAAAAAATAGTTACTGAAAAAATGTATGCAATTTACTTTTAAAGTAAATGACAAATTTTTATAGTAGTTCACTAACTTTGTGATCTCTCTAATGAAAAAAGATGAACTTTAATTGCAGTTTGTTGAAGCTTTCTTAGAAACTTATAGTTTGCTATCGATAAGAAACTTTATTACAGTTTGTTTCATTTTGCTATGAATAATTTAGGACCAGCTACAAAATCATGTCAAACGAGCCGAATGCACTAACCAACGTTGTTGTTTCTGAAAGTAATATGGAGACACCAGTTTTAGTGAACGATTTTGCCACGCAAGAGTTACCAGCTGAAAAAAACTTGCCCGTGGAAAATATATCAGCTCTTACATCTGCAAATGTTTTGCATGCTGAAATTGAGCCAATTAAGCTGGATAATTTGGTAAAAGTTACATAAGTTTTCGTTGAAAGATTAAAATTATGATTCAAAGAGTGCATTGTTGCTCAAAATTGAAAATGAACTTTGGTCTCCTTTTTATTTTTCATGTCAAAATTTGAATCTTCTCTTGTATAACTTTTGCATCTTGTTCTGTTTTAATTCTCTTTGAATTGCAATATTTTTAAAATATTGTTCAGGATTCAGAAAGCGAATAAACAAATTATAGTAATCGAGACTTTGAAGTGAAAATTGCGGGATGAAGAGAATACATTAATATTGTTTTTCAACTTTTTAGCCATTGCATCAGAAGCACATTATGAAACGTCTGGAAGGCATTCGTGAAAGCAAGCAACGTATTTTATCTGCCTTGCATAAATTAAAAGAAAGTGCTACAGATGAAAAGGTAAGCATATAGCATATAAAAAGCACAGAATTTTAATAAATTACCAGTCTTTGAAAATTTGCCTACTGATGTGTTGCTTTCAATACAGCATAATCTCAAAAGAATCAAATGGTTTAACTTGTGCTTGAAATACTGAAGAACCTTTTGTATCCTTCATCTTGAATATAGTCGATTCAAGTCAGCTGGAAAACTTGGGGTTTCACAAATAATCACAATTTTTTATAAAGTTCATAACTTCCAGCCTCTTGACAAGAAAATAATGAGCAGAATGATTGCAAGCTGCGACACACTCAGTAAGCAAGAAGAGCAGTACATAGACCTAATGAGGAAAATTGTTGTTAGTATTTCCGTTGTTTATGCTATTCGATTATTCCTCTGATTTAAACTGTTATTTTTGATTTTCGTCAGTCGAAAGATAGTCAAATAGGTTTATAAGAACTTATCCGTCTTTAATTTTGTTAGATACAACTCTTGGAAGTATTTATACTAATTGATATGTATTATTTTCTGTATGAATTTCTAATCATTTAAAATAAATTAAATTATAAAATTGTTATTGTTTTTAAAGCTGTCGCGTATAAAATATTGGTTTATTAATGTATAATTACAGATGATACGTGAAAATGCATCAGAAGATATTCAACTGGAAAATGAAGCGAACGAAAAATCTAATGATACTATTAATATCAATGGAAGTAATATTGAAGTGAAAAATACTGATATGGCTACTAACAGAGCACCAAATGAAGAAGTTGAGAATGATGTGCAAGAAGTTAGTTTCTTTACATAATAAGCTCACAATTTTTAAGTGATTTTTTAGGTCTCGTCTTCTTACGGTCTTTTCTTTAATGTTGTCCTGTATGATTAGCTAAAAAATTGTTTCAGCTCAATGAAGAACTGTCGAAATTGGGAACTGTGACGAGCAAGGCAGTTGCTGCGTCGATTATGAACGATAAATTATTAGAAGCATTTCAGTTGCACCATCAGAAGGTTAACTTTGTAATTATTTGTCTGTATCTTTGGTTTTTGCTCATAAATTTTGATAGTTCTTCGTAGCAGTGATTCATATCATTATTTTCATTTGTGTAAGTAAGTAAAAAATGAATATCGTGTTATTTCTTAGAGATTATACAAATACCATACATATTCAAAAAGCCATGGTTTTTCGAAATCATAGCTAATATGAATGTTTGCAATCTATTTTTCGAAATGGTAAGCTAGAAAGGTTTGAGCAGTTACGGTATTCTATCCATCACTTTAGAGATGTGTTCATTATTGAAATTCCTTATATTTTTTGTAAAATTGGTGTTTAATTATGTAAACTTTAGAAAGCTGCATTGGAAGAATTGCAGCGAAGAAATAAAGAAACTCAAAAGGGTGTAGAGAATCAAACTTTGCAGGAAGTTCAAATGGCTCGTTTGAAAGGTAAATAAGATTTTTATTTTAGAAGTTGTCTGGATCAAATTTAAATATATTAATTAATTATTTTGTGGCGACATTAAAAAATATTTCTTTTTTCACGCTGCTAACAGAATTAATGTATTAGTACAATTAATTCTGTCTTCTCTCGAATCAAAATATGAAGTTAAAGTCTAGTTTTGAATGACTTAAGATTTAAAAAGATCATTCCTCAAGTTTACTTTGTTATCAAACACTGCAGCTCATGACTGAATACGAGGAATTCAGTTGAGGGCATGAGTGAACTTGCAGTAAATCATTTTTATCCAACTTTTTCTTTATTTCTATAATTCTTTAATTTTCTGCTTTTCATTTTGTCCCTTTTTGTTCCTAAAAAATTTTTATCACAACCGTTTTGTGCTTTGTTGAAAATGAAAACTTCTCCTCAAAAATTTTTCAACCACTAAAAACCGAATAGCAACCCAGAAATAACTCATGTATAGCGAAATAGGAAAAAAATTCGTCATGCGAAATTATATTGAGTTTTATTCATATTTATTGAAGACTATTTTCCTTTACATCTATAAAAAGATTAGTTTGATGCTAATTAAGCAGCATGATAGGTGACATCTGCCCCACTCTTTTTGTACGTAACAACTTTCTCTGTCACACATTTCATGCATTTGTTTTCACATCAGAAATTTTCATTTCGTGATGTTTCTTCTCATAGCGTATGTTTATGTCACTATATACATATATATAGTTTAAGCTATTATTTCCACATTCCCTTGTATTTATTTATGTTAGCATACGTAATTTACCAAATGTGTAGTTTTCAGAAGTTGTGTTTTCGAGTAATTTTAATTGGCCTCATAGTTATAATTAGCCTTGATATTAGAATAAAACTTTAAAATACTACAAACTATCAGGTACCCTTATTTCTACGTATATTGTTATCATATTTATGTAATTTAGGGAAAATAAGAAAATTGTAAGAAAAGTAAGCACATAACATTTTGTTTAAATTTAAACGACTGATAATATTTCCTGTATTCGTGCTATTCCGTGTTAAACGATGTACGGGTATCATTGAATAGTATCCAAACTATGCATACTTAACGGCTGCTAATTAGCTAGTTAATAAAAGTGTAAAGTAGTGTTTCAAAATTTACTTTTAAAGTTTAACACAGCTGTTGAAGAAAAATATTTGGTAGTTTTCAAGTGGTGCAAAATTGTTTAATACTGAGAGTGTTTAGTTTAGTGTAGTTTAGTAGTGTGTACAATCCAAATAGAATGTTTTGGCAGCGATCTTTTGAAACTTTTTCGCAACTGATTAATTGATTTGTTGATCAGTTTTTGAACAGTGAACCAATGATTGCCTTACTAAATGACCACCTGACTAACCAACGGGTGATCTATTACTGCCGCTTTACGAAATTTTGTTGCAATTTTACAAGTTGGAGATTTGGTCAACAGCTGTTATCTACTAACCCTATATTACTATGTTTATAATTATAATTTTCTATATTTTAAGTTGAAATTTTAAATTCTAGTAAATTGTTATTAGTAAAATACTAATTTTAAGTACTTGTTAATCTTATCCCAAATATAGTATGTGAGATAAAATATCTGAAACATAATCATTTTCTATACTGAATTTGAGCAGCTGTTCCCTCAAATGCAATTGACACTTTTACCGAAACATCTGCTCCTAACTTATTCTCAAAGATGCACTCATGGCAAATTGCTCAACGGAAATAATTACTGAGTACATGTCTGTTGGATGTCAACTTTGTTAGCGGCGTTAAAATTGCAGCACATGGCATATTTTGTTTTTCATTCTTATATATATATATATAT